GCTTGATCCACATAACTGCAAGGTCGCACACCGTTTCTGTGGTTCTGTGTTTCTGTTACTGCCAGATCCCCCCAGTCAAGATTTTTGACCATGTAGGGATAACTTCATCAGCCTAGAAAACGAGCGACGTTTTCTGTGGCTGAGAATGAGACAACGGAATTGTGGCTTCCGCCCGATGCTGGAACTGTACATATCGTTACGAATGTTAAAACTCTTTTGTCTTGGAAGGCGGTTTGAGACATTTGCCGTGTGCCCAGTTAAACTGTTAATCTTGCGGAGAAATCCTAATTCAAACGTTGTTCTTTAGTTCCTTTGTATATGGCTTCCACTATGGCCTGTGAGACCAATTCCGACAGAGAGGAGTTTGTCACGTCTTTTTGAGCATGTAAAAGATTCCTTTTTATTTGTGGATGTGCGCAGCTTACAACCTTCTCTCTTGGCTTCAACTTGAGATATATATATTTGGTAGAGTAAAGAAAGTAGTTTCTGTCTTTTTTGCGTCCAGTCGTGTCAGAGATTTCATTAGACTCACCGTACTTCGGGATTTTTGTGGCATTATGTTATTTTCTTTACTGGGAGCCTTGCGGCATAGCAGTGTATAGAAGATGGCAGCTAGCGAATATCACAGTATACCGAGCGGCAGTTGAAATACCGTTATTCTATTGTGAAAATCTCATGAATTTTGCTGGGAGCCTGTGTAACTGAATCAATACAGACCTATTATATACTATATAATACTGTCGTATACGAGAGTGTCGAGTTGTGTTTTGTGTTTTCGAATGGTCAGTTGTCTTTTCTTCTTTTTCTGAATCTGTGAGAATGATTTGCTATCAAGAGTCTCCAAAAGACGGAACAGTGTTGCTTCTACACCGAGTCAATGCTCGTCTTCTCTCTCGTTTCGTCATATTGAGATACAGTTTTGTTTGGGCCAAAAGCAGCCACGCTGTTCTCTTGTTCGAAGCCAAGAACGCGACATTTTTCAAAAGAGAGAAAAACTGTTTCTTTCTTTTCACAATAATAATACATTTATTATGTGTCTTTTTTTTCAATATGTAGAATTTGAATTTCGATAATACTTCTCGAGCACACGCAATCGAAACCTCAGATTATGAAACTGCAGTATTATTATTTTTAAAACTCAAACAATCAATTTTTCACAATTTTGGGCTTAGTACATCTGAGAAGCTAGACAGGAATAAAGAATTCATACTTTGGCTTTGACCTCTGAATCAAAACAAACTCTCTTGATCATGATGTGTTCAGATTCTGCCTCTCTTCTTTGAGCGGTTTCAGTAACTTTCTACATTCTGACACTACTTTGGATACATTTTTCATGAAAATGGGACCGCAAAGGCCCACACAGAACGTGTACCTCAAAGACACGTTTTATATCTCAAGCAACACCATCAAGGAAATAACTTGTGCACACTAACAGCTCTTCGGAATAATCTGGAACAAGTACAACGTGCTCGTTTCATTACTTCCTGAAAAGTTGGAAACTGTTCTTTGAGCCATGGAGACAATATCATGGCTCAACATAAAAGGTAATTCCTTGAAGATTGTGTTAGTGCTTAGTAATCATCATGATTCTTAATTTAGTTTTGTTTTTATTTCAACATTTTTTTTTACATGTTACTGATCCCCGTAGAGAAATTTGGGTTACAATGGCAAACACACATAACATAATAGTATACTTCTCTAATCCACGGCACCAACATGACCAATGTGTATTGCAGGTTCCGTGAAATTATTACTAAAATTAAAAAATTGAAAAAAAAGTTCTTCAATTTGTGTATTGACCACTGTCCACCCACAGAGAAGTTGGAGCCGACCTTTCTCCAACTGGAGAAGTTTGGCCTCAAGAGTAGCCCTTTCGTCATCATCGCCGTCATCGGTCAGGAGCTGGTCGCTGCCGGACACTTCAGTGCTGCGGTGACCATACTGGAGGCTGCTCTCAAGGTGTGTGTGTGTGTGTGTGTGTGTGTGTG